AAACAGTTTTATCGGGCTGAAGGAGTGACAATGGAGAAAGGTAAAATATCGAAAAGATAATGATATAGTGGGTTTGTGACGACTATGACTTGATAATGATAATGAAATGGTTATGATACTGATTGAAATACCCCCTCTCCCCCACTCCCCGAACTTTACGTTTTACCGCAAAATTTGCTCCTACGATTCGGCTTCTCCGAACAAAAATGTATGTTGTAGCACTTGAGAAACTGCAACGTGATCAGGATTCGTTTGTTCAACGCAAAGTGCTGGGCCCCGATGACTTGCGCTTCAATAAAACACATTTCGAAAAAGAAAATAGTTGGGAGCCATCGATTCGTAATTCGCCACCGCCAATACCACAAATTCACGCTGAAGAGCTTGCTGCTGCTGCTAGTATGTTGCCTCGTTCAGTTTGTTTCGGTTTTTTGTAATTTATGTAAATGCAGCTGTTTTGATGACAAAGCTGCATTTACGATAACGGGGTATAATATGATAAATGCTTTTATTTGTTTTTTCCCTATCCTTTCTTTTGCATTTCCGATCCCTATTAATAATCTTTTAGCCCTTTCTTTTCCATACCGTAATCCATTGTTCGGGGGGAACAAACATTTCCGGTGTATGGGAACACATCTGGGTAGGGTGTTAGACTTGGTGGGACAGCAGCCTGAACCGCGCCCCCTCTCCCCTACTATATAAGACCCCCTTTTCCTCAGTTAGGATCTTCTTCTTCTGGACCTTCTTCATCTTCTTCGACCTTCTTCTTCATCATCTTGTCAACTCGACCTACGGCGCCGCCACGACTATCTTCGGGTTCTTCTTGGCCTTCGAACTACGACTCACTTGCACCTCATTCTGCTCACATGCCATCTATTGGCAATGGGCTTCAATCTGTTTATTAACTGAAATGGGTCCCCCAGCAAACTCCATGTTTTACAGATGAGTTACTTTTCTTTTTACCTATGCGCTAACTGCTGACTGAGTATAATCTCCCGTACCCCTTCGTTCTCATTTTGTAAATTTAATGCAACTAAGCATCATAAAGAACTTCCACAATATATCAGCTTGTGTACTCCACTAGACCACGCCAAGATCAGAACCTCATCGGGCATGTCCCACATTTACTTTTATATAAATTTGCTGGAAAGCAAACAAGCAGCGTTACTTGCCAGCATAGCCCAGTAAGTTGAGGGTTCGGCACCATCTGCGCAAAAACCCGTTCCTCTATGACTCGTTCATTCGTTTCGATGGTAAATTGCTACTGGCGCATTACCAGAGAATCAAACGCGCTATCAACTTTTAAGTTATTCTCGAAAAAAAGAGCCATCGATATCCTTTTTGGCGAATAATCATCCGCTAATGACAAATGTTACTTCTCGGACTACTTCCGAGTGCCTTCATTCTCTCCAATAGGAAATAATTGTGGAGAAGGGTTTGACTTTTTGACGATTACAGCAGCACCAATGTCAAAATACTTCTACTATTATTATTATTATCACTACTATTATTTTTATTATCTTATCATTATTATTGTTACTATTATTATCATCATTATTATATTTATTATTACCATTGTTATTATCATCGTTTTTTATTATTGTGATTCAGCCTAACATCGAGTCAAGTAGCTCGGGATCGAAAGACCTGGCGCAGCTGCGATCAGCGTATGGAAGCATCCTAGTAACATCACAGCGATATTCCAAGCAGTTTTGTTATTCGTGGTACTACTGTGATTCATTGGAACCGTGTTTTTTACAGATTTCACAGATTCGCAACTTCTTCCTTCGGCAACATCCATAAATATTCCAGAACGAGTGGTTTCTGTTGATACTGAGAATACTCCTCCATCTGTTCCACAACGATCGAAAGATTTTTTGGAGGAAAGCGCAGAGCTCAAAAAAACGCCAACGAATTTCTCGCAAGGAAGCAGTGAACCAAAAATGTCCACACCGAACTGTATGTTGGCAACTTTCTTGAAATTGAGTTAAAAAATCGGAGAAGTAAATTCGGAGGGAGAGAGGAGCCGCTAGGAGGAAACTTTCATGTATACATACATACATACATACATACGTACATACATACATACATACATACATACATACATACATACGTACATACATACATACGTACACACATACATACGTACACACATACATACACACATACATGCATATGTATATATACATATACATATATATGTATATATTTGTATATACATATATATCAATCCACTCCTCTTTTTGCTTTCTTCATATCCTACCATATAACTTATTCGCTGTCAGCTTTACCTAAGCATCAGCTTCATAAATGGAGAAGTAAAGCATTACATATAGCATTTTTAACCGGAAACAAAGGCCAGAAAACGGGCAACAGAGACTGGTTTTCAAATAACGTTTTTCTTTAATCACGCAGTAACTCATCGAACTAAAAAGATATGTTTCGAGGGTAAAAATTATCCCTCTTGATCCTTTTCTCTCCTCCTCCTTCCTCTTCCACTTTTGCCGTTTGTTCCTGTTGTTCATCCTCTATGAAGATAAAGGAGACAGACACTTGGAAGTGTTTTTAATCTATTTCGCTTATTGATGAGATTATCAACGATACCCTGGAAGAGGCAAGGGAGGGGGG